CAGCATCCAAATCACCTGTGAAGGGATGCAGAGAAAATTTGGTCTTTCAGCCCTCACCAGTGACTCGCTTCCCTCCCTGCTTTGCCCTGAGCAGAGCGGCTGCCCTGGGCTGGCCCAGCAGCTCTGGAGCTTGCACAGCCCCACGAGATGGGCATGATGCTGCTGACCCCATGGAGGGGCTCTGCATGGCAGCTGGGGAGACGCCCTGGCAGCAGAGGGCTAGACAGGACTTTTTGGTGACCAAGATTCATGCATTTTGCAAAAGGAGCTTGGGGGGGAGTGAATGGGGCAAGAGAAGCAGGGGACTGTGGATAGCCACTCTGTTCTCTGATGCAGCTCTTGTCAGGGCCCAGCCCTGCCTGCAAAACAGGGTAGAAGAGAAGGATGGGGTGAGCCACAGGAAGCCTGGGGCCCACATCCTACGTCAGCTGAATCACCAGGATTCCCTCCAAATTAGCTCCAAATTAGCGAGGCGGCTGCGTCAGAGCAGTGTGCTGCGAGCCTGGGGGCTCTGGCACTGGCTGTGGGTTGCGGGGGGACGAGTGCCTGGTTGTCCAGCTCATTATTCGTGAGGCAAGACTGATATGTGCTGAGTTAGTGGTCAGAGACATGCAGGTTTTGAAGTATTTTTAATTAGCTAATGCTGACTGACTTGCCGTCTCATGTCTGGAGCCTTTGTCATGAAAAGACAGCAAAACCACAGGTTCCTCCGAAAAGGGGAATGCGGACGGGGTGAGTCACTGCTTCAGACGAGGCCTAACTCGCTCTTTTTTTTTTTTTAATTGGATGGAAAAAGGACATATTGATACCCTTTTGTTGATACTTGAATGTGTCTCTGCGTTTGCCCATCTGAGTAAACAAATTGATGCTGTTAATCAGTCAGTTGTAGAGATATTAAAACAGAGCGGGTCTGGGAGGGATGGAGCAGCTCTATTTTCAAACTAACTCAGAGCTGCTAAGAAAGCAAATTCTTACATTTGAATCAGCAGCAAATTCCAGCTCTGTTTCTGTTGGAAGTGTTGAAGTGGCTGTCGGGAAATATTTGGTTGCTATGAGCTTTCAAAATTTAATTAATCCTCCAGCTTTCAAGGATGTGCTAATGCCTAAATGCTCCTTTCCTCACCCCCCCATCTCCCCCATCCACTTTCCACTGAAAAGCAGGATGCAGCTTCCAGGGTTTCCCTCTGGGGTAAGAGTCTTGGGTACTTTTTCTCTGGGCTTGAGTGTTCTTAAGTTGCTGTCTGAGCAGTTAATCCACCCAGAAGTCCTGGTTAGCTTCTGGCACTTGTGCTGGAGGTGCTGAGCGCTGCAGCGGGGGCATCCCTCCAGTGACAGTCCTCGCTGCAATGGCGTGTCTCCAGGTGACTTGCAGCTGTTAAAACACACGGGCTGGGACAGCTTTATTTGACCTGCCCGTATTGCAGTTCTGTCTGGAGAGCAAATAAACTAAACCCGATTCAGTGACTGCAGTGTGTTTAGAGGCTATAAAACTTGTTTGCACAGCAAGTTGATACAGGCTTTCTCTGGGAAGGGAGTTGATGTCCGAAATGCACTTAAAGCAGGTCTGATCTGCAGCACAAAGTGGAGTCTTCAGAGGACAGAAGTGGGCTGCACTGTCTGCCAGCCAGTCTCTTCTGTGAGGCTGCTTTTGTGCATCTGTGTGTTATGGAGTTACCTTTGCTGCTCTTCTGTGGGGTGAGGGATGAAGGCAGGAGCAGAGCAATCTGGAGCAGGGATTGCTTCCTTATACACTCTGTTTGTGTGCATTGACTGATGGACTATCTGTTACCAGGGTGTAAAATGGGTGTGGGATCACTAGGTCACTTCTATCTCCTTTTTTCCTCTTGTTTTCTCTTCCTCCCTCTAAATTGTGCCTTTAAATGTGAGTTTGTCTCTGGCTGTCATCGCATGCCCTGGCAGAGACTTTGCTCGTGGTAGAAGTGAATGTGACGTGGTGCAGCATGGTGCTGCGTCCCCACGGGGCTTCGAGTGAGGCAGCTGATGTGTGATCCCTATGCCAGTGCGATCAAAGGGCTTTTTATGTCTGTGAAGACAAAGCCTCTTGTTTAAAAATGCAACTGAATGAAAAACACAATTCTGAATGCCCTAGACTCAGCTTTTAAAAACAAACAA